CCTCTCCCAGATAATAGACAAAGAAATACCACATGTTCTCACTTATTGGTGGGAGCTAAAAATACACAAATAAATTCACTCACACACACACACAAAAACGGGGGGTGGAGAAAATATAAGAACTACAATTTCTTTGAAGGTGTTACAACAAGCAAACGGAAAGGACATTCTTGGGTGGGAAGGGGGAGAGGGAGGAGGGTGGGAGGTTTCGGTGATGGGTCATAATAATCAACCACATTGTATATTGACAAAATAAAAAAAAATAAAAAATAAAGAAAGGTTTTCCTTATGCTTTGGAGAAGAAAATGGGAGCACCATGTTAATTTGCCTTTATCTATTATCTGGGAGAGGGAAACACATGGGCCCATATTCCCTACTTTGAGAATTACTGCCGAAGAGATAGCAGAGTTCAGCTATTGATATTTTCGAATAACTCAGGTCCAATTTGGAGGTATATTTACTTAAGAGGATTTGTGTATTGTTGAGATTCACACAATGCAATTCTACCCAGATGTTAAAGGAATGAGGAAGATCTTCTCTTCTTGGTTTGCAGTGATTTGTCAGAATCTACTGAGTGAGGAAGCAAGGTGCAGGAGAATGGGTGTCATGGGTCCCAAGTTCTATGGACATATACCAAGATCCTTGTCCCCAGTTACAATGAAATTGTGTTTCAAGCACAGAAACAGCTCTACAGTCTGTCATGTTAGGTTGCTGAGGTCCCAGCTCCCTGTCCTTTTAGGTGCTTGAAGAGCACCTTTCATGAGTGGTTCACTCTAGGCAGACAGGACAATATGCCATATGTAGGAGTCATAGGTGACAACACGCTATAACTGTTCAAACTGATGACAATTCCAAACCAGACTTTGTTCCAAAGGGCAAAGTTCTTGACCCTGTTGGGTCTTAATACCCCGTTCGAGGAAGAATGAGAGCGCCTGTTCCGGCACTTTGAAATCCACACACCTCGAATTCCACTCATTTCTCCAATCAAAACCCATTTCTAACCAGCGTTATATAAATCAACAAAGCCTCTAGTGTTAAACAGAAGATTAGATATCTGAAGCTATGAGCTGCCTAGGGAGTGCGGACTTTCAACTGCAAACCACCTGTCCCTAGACAGTGTATATGACACGTTAGGTTTTTTCTCATGACAACTACCTCCAAAGAGGAATGAGTGGATGTGCCCCTCAAAACAGGCATATGTGTTTATAGGAGCTTTTTAAAAAGATTAACCCAAACCTGGGAACCTGGAAATAACTCACATGTCCAATAGACATTTGTCCAATAACCCAAATCCCCAATGTCTGCCCATTCTATAAGTGGATGAATTGTCAAATGGTTACACAACTGGATATTACAGAACAGTGAGAAAAGAACATATCAGTGCCCCTTGCAGCAACGTGGATGCCTGTCATAGATATACTCACATACAGAAGGATCCAGACACAACTTGTACATATTGTGTGATTTGTGCAATTTAGTATATTATCTATAAAACAGGAAAATAGATGAACTGTTAATGATTTACTATAGTTTTAAGTGTCAGTTAAAACTAACACCCACATATACACACGTATCACACCTTCTCTGTTGAAGCATTGAAATGTAAAAGAGAGAACGTATAACAACCACCAAACAGAAGATTGAGGCTCATTAACTGTCACACTTTTAGATTTGACATCCGTGTTTTTCAAGAATGCTTCTACCATTTGAGCACTTCTTCTGTATGTTGTGGCTAATAACATGAAGTTAAAACTAAACTGTTGCTTTGAGAAATAAACCCTAACTATAGAGAAGGCATTTTGTCCATATCGTCAGGGAAATGTTCTATTCAATTTAAAGATTCTCATTCTCAAAATGTGGTTGAAGGGCCCCTGGAGCCACTGGGGGACAGGATATGAGGAAGGTCTATTAACGCCAACTGTGAACACCAGAAGTGCAGAAGGAGGGGAATGAGCTCATACCTTGTGTAGACAACAGGATCAGATAATTTTCCAAAGCCAGAGTATCTGGGTTACTTGAGAAAGTGGGAGAGAGAGAGACAAACAGAGTGTGTGTTGTCAAAGAGGGGAACAGATAGATACCCGAATTTGGATTGCTATCATATTAATTCTTGATCATCCACATGGTAACCTACAGCAATAACAAATTTACGCTCTGAGCTACACAGGCCACTCCTTTAACCCTCCTTAACCTGCCCATGGAGTGGTTAAGTTGGCTGGTGAGCACAGGGCAGGTGAGACTTCTGATGCAGATGGAGAACTCCAAGCTCTCCAGGTTTCCTGTTCTCTGTTCCATGGAGACTCCTCAGCTGGGGTGTTTCAGGGTAGGTGAGGCAGCACTGTGACTTCTGTGGCTTTCCTTACGAACCAGTTGTAATCTGTAATATTTTCTTTTAAAAGATGACACTGCATTTATCTGTCTTCTAACTGTGGTAGGTTTATTTCTGATACTTGCTGTTTGGGAGAAGCTGTCAGAAGTTCTGTCTTTGTGTCCTGTAAGTGCCTTCTCTCTCCTAGTGCTGGAAAAATTGATGTAAAATGAGAGAACCCACAGGAACATGAGTCTGAGATTTCTCAGAGCTGTCTTGCTAACCTCGCTTCTTCACCTCGTGCAGTAGGAGAGGAAACAATGACCTTTGTCATTTTGTTTTTGTTTTTTTCATTTTACTTTGCTAATGTTTTGAAGAAACTTTTACTTCATGTACCCACATTACTGCAGTTGAAGGGGAACCTTTCTATCTGAATATTGCTTATTTTCACCTGCACATGCGAATGAAACAACCACCCGAAGACGGTACAAAAGCAGGGAATCCCATGGACATGTTGAGCTAAACCCAAGCAGTTCACCCAGAATTACTTTGCATGATTATGTTTTGGAGTTTTGGCCAGCTGAGCTGGAGGACAGAGGATCTTACTTTTTCCAAATGGGGTGAGTAGACCTTTGTTTTAGAATATTTCATAGCACTCTTGGCCTTTGTTCAGCAGCTCAAATATACAATAATCAGAAAGGTCAAGCAATCCATGCATTAACTTCTCTCCCACTCTTCCCACAACATGAAACAATACTGCACTATTGAAAATAATAGTCTCCCTATGTTTAATTTCCTAATGATCTTAATGAAAGGAGATTACCTTAATAGGATTTGGTTTTAGGAGATCCTTGTCAATGGTAAGTGAGGATGGGATGAAAGTCAGTTTTAAAATTCAGCTGCTCCTGTTGTCCGGATCCCCTGGTCAATGAAATCAATGGCTAGGAATTCTGATGATATTAACGTGTAGCCTGGGGGTGGGGGACAGTGTCAGCTCTCTGAATGGCACCCTCAGACTGGGGAGGGGGAATGGGATTGATGGAGACACACCCTAGTCTAGTTTTTGGTTGATGGTGCTAGTGGAGGAGGTATGTCTTTGGCAGCCAATCACAAACACCTTGCCAGGGGTGGCAGGGGGGGATGGGGGATGGGGGACGGGAAGGGCTTTGCAGTCTACTCATGACAAAGGCCTAGATTCTGCCAGCAGAAGTGTAACTTCTGTGAAATGAGAGAAACCAACTGAATGCATCAACCCCTATTTCTGAACTTGGTTCTCTCTTGTATGTACGCACCTGTGCACTTGTGTGTGTGTGTGTGTGTGCGTGTATGTATGTATTTTATAGAGATTTGGGATTGACCTGTAGAAAACAGCTCTGGGCCAGCTGAGTGGTGATGTGTGCTGTCAGATGTAGCAGGTTTCTTCTAGAAGCATCTCTGGAGTGTCCTGATCATTATCAGCCGTGTTGTTGACAGCAGAGTGAGATACAGATATCACAGTGAAACCTCAACATCACTCCTGTGGTTTTGCACAAAATGAGGTCATGTTTGTTTTTATATATAGGAACTCCCAGGAGTCAAAAAGAAATTAAGGAACTTAAAAAAAAATCCAATAAGTTTTACCTGACCTTTTAAGAGAGATGATTACAGAAATGGGTCACAACTGGGTCTTTTCACAGCAAGCTGAGGAAGAATGAATACTCACCAATGG